ACTATACTCGTTTTAATTTTTTTATAATATTTTCTTTCACATCAATACATTTACTACTACCTACATATTTAATAAAGAGTAAATAAATTTTTGCATCCTGTACTATACACGTTTTTTACGATTGCAACCTAAAGTTTTTTTTCTTTTTGAATTTGCAACCTGTAATACACGTTTTGTTTGTATCGCAACCTAACAGCTATCGGAGTCCATATTCTATCGGAGCCTTTTTCTCTTATGTTTGCAGGACATATTGTCTTTCTATCATTGAACAAATTCCCCTTACAATCACAGGAAGTGAACAGAGTAAGACGCACGCGAAAATTCTTGGAGACAGCTTGGAGACGATGGCTCAATATTGCAATTGCGGTATCAATGTTGTTACGAAAACATCGTGGACTGTTCATAATCCAGGAAGGAGATACATTTGTTGCTCGAAGTCACGGGTAAGTGATTAATTAGGGTTAACCTAATTTCTGAATTTGGGCAAATTTGGTGAACCCTAATTTTTTTTAAATCTCACTTTTATGAAGACATTATTTAAAAATTTTATTTTAACAAAAATATTATTTATTTAATATATATATATATATATACATTTTTGGTATGTTCGATTTTACTAATCGAAAATTGCATTGAAGTATTTTTTACAAAAATTGTCCTAATTAATAACTGCCCCCAATATGTAATTAATGTATAATCAAACTTTCTGGTTTAATTAAATAATTTTGAATCTAAAGATTATAAATGTGTAGAATCTTAAATATTCATATGTATAATTAAATATGTAAATTTACGGGCAATACATTGAAATTCTTTAACTAATAAATAATGTGCATATCGAATCTTAAAATATCTATAGCATTGATATTCTTTATTTGATAAACAAATAAATATCAAATGTTTTTTTAACTAATCTAAAAATAGATATAAATCATCCGTGCAAATGATCTATATAGTATAAGAAATTTATATTCACTTATATATAAATGAATGTTATACTCTTTTGATATCGAATGTTCTAAAAAATTTGAGCAAATATACACTAAATCGATCCCGGGTGATCGAGTTATGGGTAAATGACACAACTGAGGTTGATCCTGAGTGACCAAGTTGGGTCAGTTTGATCAGACCAAATAGATTATTGAACTAAATATAATTTTTAATATTAAAAATACATTATTAAAATAAATATAATGTAGTTCATACTTCAAATAATCATATTAAGAATGTTTTTATGACAACATGTTCAAGGAATTACGAACAGTTAAGTTTTATTTTATTTATATTTATGTGAACAAAATGATGTTGCATTACAATTTTATTAATGTACGGTAAATTCAAATTTCTCAGACGAGGATCGTTTTCAAAATGATCAAGTTATTTATTGAATGATTTATTAGTTGCGTTATAATTTAAATTAATAATATTTTAATATATATAGCACTTTTTATGATAAATTTATTAAAAAATATTAATTAAATATATGAAAATTTTAAAATTTTAAATGTTTAACTAATGATAAATAATATATATATGTCCTTTATTTAAATATGTATTTCTACATATAATATTAAAATAGTTTTAAATGTAACAAAATTTATTTAAAAAATTGTACCGTTACTACAGTCTGACTGACTGGTGTTGATCGGTTCTCTAGCAAATATTTCATTCAAACGATATATATTTATTTGGTATATATTTATTATACAACATTTATTTTATGATATATACATGCAATGTTTTACAAGATCAATATGTACTGTTAACGTGCAAGTAACCATTCTACTTGATAAAAATCGTAATTTGCAGCCCTATCAATATACATTGCATACGTATGAAACAATAACGTTATGGTTTCTTACGCAATGATTGTAAATAAGAGTCAGAGACAATCGTTATCCCAAACAAAAAATGTATAAGAAAGTATTCAATAATTTATAATTTTTTTTACCTTCTTTGGGATCCATTTATTTTCTGTTACATATATATAAGTTATATTAATTTTAATAATTCACATGTTAAACATTCTAGAAAAATATATCATCCTGTGCATCACACGGGCTACGCGCTAGTTTATTATGAAGTGAATTAACTTATTTAATATTATAGTTTAATTACAATAGATATTGAGAATAAATCTCTTAAGGCTATAATTTAACAATCTGCAATCTGTGACTAGAGGAGAAAAGTTATGTTTGACTATATTGATTTATTATATTTTTATTGATTTATTAAAAAGTGATAATAAGTAATTTAATATCATAGTTTCTTGAGTAATTCAATATTGGAATTTNAAATAAGTTATAAAAGTTATAATTTATATGTGACATGCATTGGAATATGGATGAAATTATTAAATCCCAAACATCACCCTAAAAATGTAATTAATAAAAAATAAATTGGATATTTATTTTTTAAATGAGTTAATTTATAGTATCTATGTACTAATTTGACGCCCTTGGGCTTTTGTCATCCTTTTATACCACATATAGTTTTAAATTAATGCTGTTCATTGATCATATTATATGAGTTTTAATAAATTTGTTGGGGCTTTGTATTTTTCTAATGTACTTGAAATTTCTTCAAGTCAGTAAAATGAACAGTTGGAGCTATATATTATTTGAGTATTATTAAATTTGTTGGGGCCTTCTAATTTGTATTTTCTTAATGTACTTGAAATTCTTTCAAGTCAGTAAAATAAACAGTTGGAGATTAATATTGGATGCATCTCGAGTGCATGTTTTCTGGTTGTTGTTAGGGAGATAAGGTTCGATTTAAAGATAGCTTGGAAAATAAAATTATTTTCCTCTTGTAACCTCCTTTTAATGTGAACTTAATTAAGTATTAAATGCTTGCTTCCAATTGACAGGACAAATTAAATTCGGTTTTCCACCCACCGGACCAATTTTATTGTAAGTTGTAACATATTAGTATGAGTGTTAGGACGTATTTAATATTAATTAAATACTACACTAATTAAGTCAAACCCATTAATTAAGATAAATTAAACATTGAAGAGAGTTTTCCATTGTTTAAATGAAGCTTTGACATCACATCTCACATTAAAAACAGGCTCTCATAACTAATTTTATAATGTCAATTAATTATAGCATGTCTAATTTAATTAATTAAAATTCATTAAACGCTATTAATAAAACTAGAGTTGTTAAACAAAACGAGTCATTCGTGAGTTTCGTTAGACTCGACTCGGCTCGTCTAATAAACGAGTCGGTTTCGAGCTTGTTTACTTTATAAGTCGAGGCGAGATCAATCGAAAAAATAGTTATTTTATGTAATTTTATATCAATTGGCTTGAGTAAGCTGGAGTTCGAATTGTTAGGCTTAAAGTCGGCTCATGAATACTAATAAACGATACGAAAAGCTAAATGAATTGAACTCTAATTCAACTTGTCAAACTCAATGTTGTCTCATTATTATCGATAAATGAGTCGGGCTAAAGTTCACAAATTTAATAAACCTAGACTTGAGTTCGATTTATTTAACCCTGTAGAGTACCACTGAAATGAAATTTAAAAAATGAAAATTGTGAAAAAAATATACTGCCTAGTATAATTTTAGCACAATAAAGCCAAGACAACCTTGTATGTCAAAAGGCCAATTCCACGTGCACCTCACGCTTGTTCCGTGAAATGGGGCCCACATTGTAACAGAAAGCTTCTGCGCGTGCGCTTGAGAGCGTGGGATTTGTGGAAAAAAAAAAAAGTTGGGCACGAGAAAAATCACACACTCTCTCCTCAGGGGTCAATGGTCAACCCGGACAAAGGACCTGTTTTTTTAATTGAACGAGTTACAACACAGATGAAGGAGAGAAGGAAAAAGCAAGATTTGACTTGAACCATGGTTAAAAAATCAATACTAGTATTAAATACTTTCACACAAGGCCACGTTTGGTTGAAATATATACTATATACTAACATTCTTTCACATCTTGTAAACTTCCTTCTAAAGTTTAATTATTGAGTGTGATGATGAGTTTTTACTTGGAGTTTGAAATTAGTCTAGTTCCTTTAATTAAATTTTCGTACACTATATATAGGTGTTGAATTAGGGAAAAGTGTTGATAATAATAATAAATATTATATTATATTGTATACGGTGTGTAATCCAATAGATGAATTACAGACCAGTCAACTGTCATATTTCTTAAACAAAGGTGTATATTTATACTATAAATTGTCATATTATATTTGACATACTTTTTAAAGGATTTTCTTAATATAAAGAATGTATATTCGTTAAACATTAGAACAATAGTTAGGTAAGGCAGTCTAATAGCTGACATAATTATGTATAATTTTATTACAATATGTTATATTATGAAAAATATGAATAGAAATATCAGGTTACATGTATGCATTTTTTGTTATCGTGATATAAGGAATCAGCTCACGAATCAGCTAGCCTAATAACACACTGAACTAAACAACATGCTTAATAATTTTAAATAAGTTAAACATGAGGTCAAATCATCCTTTAATTACCATTCTCGAGCAAAGTCAAACAATTTGATTTGAAATAAAACAAAGTATATATTCTATAATTTTCTTCACATCTTTTTACCCCAAAACATGTAGCTAGCTAACCATAAGTGGAAACCTCCCAAACCATGGTTAGTAAAGCCTCCATGCAAAAACTGCAAAACAATAAAAGTCTTACTCACAAAAATCAAAGTCCTCAAAGCCAAATCCCATCATTATGATTGAGAGCCAATAGCTCCTTTCTGACAAAGTCATCATTGAACATCTGCATTGTATCTATACACACACCTATACATACACATATAGACATATATGTTACATGTAGGTCCGGCCCTATATTAATTATTATCTTTCTTTACAATATAGGCCTAACAAAAATAATTAATATAAGTAACAAATAAATAAAGCTGTAACTCCCATCTGGTAAAAGGCAAAAGAAAGTTAAGACTTTATTTTTTAAAAAAATAATAATTAAGAGAAAAGGAGAAAAAAAAGACCAGCCCATTTCTCCTCATTTTGTCCCCCTTTTGTTTCTCATTGTCTATATAACTCACAAAGAGGGGTAAAGTAAAAAAGCTTGTCTGGTTTTCTTTTCTAGAGAGAAGAAAAAGAAGAGATAGAGAGAGAAAGTAATTGAGTGAGGAAGATGGGTGAGCAAGACGATGGATTGGGGTTGAGCCTGAGCTTGAGGTGCCCGGAAAATCAGAACCACGACCGTCCGGCTGCCGCCTCCTTCCCCCTGAACCTTTTCCGGTCGCCGCTTCCTTTCATTTCCGGCCAGCATAGAACAGCCGGTAAACAACCCTTTATCTGAATTCAGATGAATTTTAATTTTGTGGCGTCAAGATCGAATTTTGACGGTTGGTGTGTGAAATTTCAGATCTCCGGCAGGGGTCTGCCGTGCCGTTTTACAGGGGTATCGACGTGAACCGGCCGATTACGGCGGCGGAGTGTGATGAGGAGGTCATGGCGACGTCGTCGCCGAACAGCACGGTGTCGAGCCTTAGCGGTAAGAGGAGCGAGCGGGAAGAGAACGACGGCGAGAGGGCGTCAAGCTCTCTGGAGATCGACGATGAAGGCGGCGACGGGGCCGCCGGGAGGAAGAAGCTCCGCCTGTCTAAGGACCAGGCGGCGGTGCTCGAGGACACGTTCAAGGAGCATAACACCCTGAATCCCGTTAGTCTTGTTTTTCCCCTGTTTTTTTCTCTTTCACCAGCTAGGGTATTTCGGGAAGATTTGTCAAAATTTTGTATGCAAATGGTTATTTTAGTTTATTTATGCTGTTTTCTTTGTTTGGGGTTCATGTGTATACAGAAGCAGAAAATGGCCCTTGCTAAGCAGCTGAATTTGAGGCCAAGACAAGTGGAAGTGTGGTTTCAGAACAGAAGGGCAAGGTTAGTAGTATTTCCACTCTCTCAGGGGCATTTTCGTCATTATGCTATTTGTTTCTTGGTTTCCAGTCTGAAACTGTTTCAGAGTTCTTGTCACATATGATAAATTTGGAAATATCAAGTTAAATGAATGTTAGTCTGAGGTACAAATACTTCACAATGTCATGTGCAGGACTAATACACAATTTTTTTCCAGAATTGAATCTAATTTTTCCAGTATATAGAACAATTCTTCTAGCAAATAATTGATTTTTTTCTTGTGTCACTAATTCTATTCAGGACAAAGCTGAAACAAACAGAAGTCGATTGCGAATATCTGAGGCGATGTTGCGATAATCTAACAGAGGAAAATCGACGGCTTCAGAAGGAAGTAACCGAGCTCCGAGCACTGAAACTCTCCCCACAATTCTACATGAACATGAGCCCCCCAACTACCCTTACCATGTGCCCTCAATGTGAACGTGTGGCCGTCTCGTCAGCCACGACAGCTGGCAGCTCAGCCACCGCTGGCCGCCAGCCAGTGGCGGCCCACCACCACCGGCCGCCGCCGGTTAGCTCGTGGGCTGCTGTGATTCCGCCCCAAGCCCTCGATGCCCACCGCCCGAGGACGTGATTTGACTTGTTTTTTGGTCTGAGTTTCGTAAAATCATAACATGGTGAAATATAATCTGACTTCGTGTTCTATGTGTTGTCCCTTTTGCTTTCCCAGATTGTTATATGTGGATTGTGTGTGTTCTTGGGGACTTTTTTTAGTGTTGGGAGTGTGTTAGTAATTAGGAGGTGGTATTTTCTAACCTCTGGATGGAAATTAGAAAGTTGAATGCTTTTTGTGAAGGAGGTGAGTAATGAGTTTGCTTTTGCTTCATTTTTCTCTTCATAAATGTATGCATTTGTTTCATTGTTTTTTCCAACTCTTGCATGAATATGCCAAATAATTGTGGTGATAATAGTCGATTTTGACCCTAGGGGTGAGGCTACTGCTCATCTTGGGGTTTGAGCCATCGGATCACATGCATCTAATGATGGTGTGTATTGATCTAACGGTTTGGAATCAAGTGTTGGTACGCGAGTAGGTTGGTAAACGAGTCGAGTCGAGATCGCTGAACTCGAGGTTAGGGTGCTTGAGCTCGACTCGTTAAACAAACGAGTATGAAATTGAGCTCGACTCGTTTATTTCTAATAACTAACTGAGTTTGAGCCTTAACGAGTCGAATTATAGGAAATTATATAAAATTTCTCTTTTCGAGCTTTATCGAGTTGAACCGAGCTCGTATATCAAATTAGCCAAGCTTGAGTCGAGTTTAGTCAAGCAAGATTCCTTTAGTTTAACAACATTATATGGGAGCAGCCATCAGATCGCATGCATCTAACGAGAGTATTAATCCGACGGTTTAGAATCAAGTATTGGTATGTGAACGTGTATTGATCTGATAGTTTGGAATCAATTGTCAGGTTGGGGACTAGATGTGGATTAAATCCACCTAAATTTAGATCAAGATATTAGTGCATGATTTTTATTTTCTTGCTTGTAATGATTTGATTTAGCAAACAATGAATAAAGCAAAGGATAACCGAATCTCTAAGTTGGGCCATGAATATACTTATCATCTTCCTAACGAACTACTCTCATGACTCATCCCAACTCACCCAAAGCCAAAAGCAAGAACTGTAATATTGAACTGTCTATTTTAGCTTTTCTACTTTCTGGATTATTCCAGTCTTTCCAGCTTTTTGTTTCTTATTTCTTTTAAAATATATTTTCATTTATTTACTACTTTGGCAATAAGTCAAACTGTCATCATTGGAGGGGTTGGTGGATATTCTGATTGACTGTGAGGGCAACTGGTGATAATTCAGATGTCTTTGAAGTTTGAACATAAGCCCAATTTAGTTTTTGGTCCTGTAAAAAGTAATCGTGGGAGAAATTGCATCCACAGCCCTACACTAATCAGTTTCAACATTTAGCCCCAAACTATTCAAAATTGGCAATAAGTGTTACCCCTTTATTTTCATGGAATTTTGAATGGCCTAGTAGGTACTAGGTAGTAACTATTCAAACCAGTCAGGGCCAATTAATTCATGGAATATTTGACAATAATTCTATCTGTACTTGGTTGCCCTTTCAATTTAAATCAGTTGACCAAAACAAGAAAGGGTTCTGACAGTTATATGGGACTATAATGTATTTGCCCTTTCAATACAAATATGCTGATAACATTACTCTTTAAGTTACAAAGGGGAAGTTTTTCGAACATAAAAGAACATATCAATTTGGTCGTGATTACAGTACAAAAAGCCAATAGATTAAAATTGAAAGGACAAAGGCAAAAAACTAAACAGTGTTAACTTTGTCGGCTAACGAACGTAATATGCAACCTAATCCAGCTTTCTCTGTAAGTTTCTCATGAATTCTTAAGCACTGATCACAGGTGGGCCGATCTCCAGTCGATAAACCTCTATATAAGTACCTATAAAAGAACATATAACACTTTTGCTGTAACTTGTAAGTAGTACTAACCTCTAAAGTTCACGAAGCTAAACACGTTCGTATATTGCTCGTTTTGTGAACCGAATCTGATTCATACATAACAAGTTGAAGGGGCTTTTGAGATTAATAAAACGCAGCTATGACCGTATGATTTTCCCTCCGTTACTCCTGGTTTGATGGAAAATTCTCAATAAAGATAAAGGGTGGTTTTTTAGTATCACTGATTTCTCATAATGTCATATCCCACATTAGCAAATCAACTTAAAATGCGAATTCACATTAAAATGGAGGGAAAGAGCTACCACAAGATTTTTAACAAAACTTGGTCATTTCAAAAGTAGAAAAGACTCTTCAAGAAGATAGAACTGAATGCGGAAGGGTAGGAGGGTCACCAAAATCTTATTCAATTTCTTCATCTATTCAAAAATAAATTAAAAACAATAAAAAAATCAATTTTTATCAGGCATATGTAAAACCAATGTGCCAGACCAATTTTCAATAATGTGAGAGCACACTCGGTGATTACAAGGGCACGTTCATTATAACAGAACAGAAATTTTGCGACTAGTGATCCACTTCAGCGTATCCAAATAATATCCTTAACTATAATAACCACTGAATATGATATTTGATGAGCACCTATGATTAAATAGTAAATATCAAATGGACATAAGGCCTAAGATTATACATGCCTCTAGCAATAACCTTGTATATCTCGTAAAATATCAAATGTCCATCACCGGACATTATTTGTAAACCAAATCACACTCTTTTCCACTAATCATACGAGCATGGTGAACAATATTTCCAAACTAAAAATCAATTTTATAAGAAGCTTTATTATTTGGGTACGAGATTTCTATTGCATCAACCAAGCACACAAAAAACCATTGAAGTAAGAGATAAACAAGACAGACACTTGAATACATAAATTGTTACAAATAACATCATCAAAGGAACTTATTAACAACACAACAAAGTAACAGCGTTCGACTTACTTCATGAGGACATCATAGTACTCAGGATCAAGAGCTGAGAACAAACTATCAACATCTTTTATTGCCATTATTGCCCTGTGCACCACTATCCAATTTGCAGACTTGAAGAAAAAAAAAATGAAATGTACAAATCAATACCATTTCATAATACTAAAAAAATGTAAGAAGATAGGTGGAAGAACACACGCATACATAGGGAGATGAGACAACAATGTGAATCCAATACAAGAACATAGGCAAGACAAATTAATTATAGAAATGCATTTTTTAACCTTACAGCGCTCGTCTTTGGTCATAGGCGGGGACCCTTCAAGAGCTGTCTTCAAAGCTTCCACTGGTTTGTACCTGAAATCCCACAACAAAAAAGAAAAATGCAATCTTGTGCTGGGTTCACCACAAAAGAACAACTTTTTTCCCCGAACAATTTGTGATATTTTCTGGGAGAATTTCGTAAAAATCTCGTACTGTTTGAGTAAGCTCTCGATCTTGCGGGACTTGTGTTCGATTCTGATAATAATGGCTTCTGTGTTGTCCGCAAATTCTGCCATATTCGTGTGCAAAGATATCTTCGGGTGCTTGAATTTAGGATTTAATTTCAGCTAAAACAGATCAATTATTAGCGCAGAGATCTGATTTAGGGTTTTTATTTACCCCAACTAATTAAAATGCATTTTAAAAGGGATAAAGAAGTCTATTTCACCAAACAACCTCAATCATGTCAAAGCAATCTACTAATTTTACATTGGGCTAGAGGAATCGAGCCGAACTCGAGTTTTAACGAGTCGAACTATAAAAAATTATATAAAAAAGAGTCTTAACGAGCTTTATCGGGTCTTATCAAGCCGATCTCAAAACGAGCTTTAAATAAGCTCGAACTCGACTCGTTAAGGCCTCAAAATCGAGTCGAACTCGAGCCTTAATGAGCCGAGTCGAGTCAAACTCATTTAATTTAACAACACTATTTTGCATTAATCTACTTAATTTCTTTAAGTAAAAATATTGTTCAGTAGATTTTATCATTTTAAGCTAAAATATCATTTTCTAGAAAACGACATAAATAAAAATTACGACATTATATACAATAAATATACATTTTTATTAAAAAATTATGTCGGGATAACTATAGTTAGCAATTGACTTGTGAATGAAGTGTTGAAAAAAGGTGGTTGATTAATAATAAATCACTTGTGGAACACTCATCTTGTAAAAATGCTACACAAACAGTCTCCTATATTAAAATATAAAGTGATTATGTGTATGAAAATGGAAAATGTAGGAATAAGAAGCATTGAAGCACACACCAAAAAAAAAAAAACGAGTTGACCTTAACTATTATGTTTCTGTTTAACAATTTTCAAATATAATGTTGTGAAGAAATAAACTTCACATTATGTGATCAAAATTAAAACTCGTGGGAATAAAGTTCCAAGAAATCCAATCTGCACATAAAAAAATTGGGGCATAAAACAATTCATTTTTCCAACTGTGCTATTTATGATATGGGAATTAAAAGGAATTTAAGTCCTCTGGCTTTGTAGATGCTATACTAGTACCATATGAGAATTTTCTTGTATTCAATTTTAATTTTGTTGAAAACTAGCTCAATGAATGAATTTTAAATTTATAGTTAATATTTTGTGGTTAATGAAGGAAAACATTATTGATATAATAAAAGTGTGAGCTAAAATTTGCTACAATTAAATTGAAATAAAAAAGTTCAATATACTTTTTTAAAGTCATGAAGAAAATTTTTATTAAGTAAGTTTAGCATAGGAAATCAAATTTATTTAAACAGAAAACACTTATAAATTAATTAATTACACTATACTAGTGCGTGGCCCGTGCGATGCACGGGGAAACAATATTATGATTGTATTATAAATTAAATATATATATATATATATATATATATAACATTAATTATGATTTACCCATTGTTTTTAAATTAAATCGGGTTGGACACAGTCCGGACGGATGGACCGAGAATCGATTTATAACCAGTCTAGTTGCTTGAATAAAATATTAGCTATCGAATCTGTCAACACCAGTCGATTTGACTGGTAGGATCGATATCGATTTTCTAAATAAATTTAGTTACATTTAAAATTATATAAAATTACATATTTAAATAAAATGAAGATTTATAAACTCTTTATCAATAGTTTAAACATTTGAATTTATAAATTGTTTAGATATTTAAGTATCACCTTTCTTTAAATTTATTACAAAAAGTATTATATATATATAAATGTTTATAAATTAAAATCTGAACAGACCACAAATAATTTAATAAAATAACTTGATTTTTTCGATGAGTTATATATATTAAAATGTTTATAAATTAAAATTTGAACAGAGCACAAATAATTTAATAAAATAACTTAATCGTTTCGATGACGGTCCGGTTCTAAAAACCTTATATTTCTTGTACATTAATAAAAAATATAATAAAATATTATTTTATTCACAAAATAATTAATAAATGATATATAAATATTTATAAATTATTAAACATGTTGTCATAAAAATATTGTTAATATGATTATTTAAAGTTTGGACTACATCACATTCAAGTAATAAAGTATTTTAATATTAAAATTTATATTTAGGTTTAATAATCGAATTGGTCTGATCAAACAGATAGATAACTTAGTCACTTTAAGACCAATCAAGTTGTGTCAATTTTTTTGACTATTTTAAATATCACCTAAAAGTAAAACAATCAACTTGGACAATATCCTAATTTAATCATCTGATTGATCCAAAGAAATTTCTTTATGATTCATATAATAAATGTCTACACCAAATGATAGTACATTAAGATTATAAATTATATATCTAAAGATGATTTAATTATTTTTACTTTATGAATATTAATAAAAAGTACCTCTCCTTTTAGTCGAGCATCTGTTATGACTTCTCGCGTTGAGCTCGACTTTAAGGAGAGAAAAGACCCGAAGTTAATTAGTTTTACTTTATGCATATTAATAAAAAAAAATAAACATAGTAATTTTTAAAAAATTAAGATCAATTGATTGATTATGCAATTTAAAGAATATGTGTATTTTCAAGGAATAAATTTCTTCATATAAGGGATTTTGTTTCTTCAAACTATCCAAATTCATATTCGTATCAGCAATTTGAAATTTTGAATTACAATAGTACATGACACTATGAATACAAAATATCTTTTAACAAATAAATCAGATTTAATTTAAGATTTATTAGTTTTAAAAATAATAAAATCATTAAATTAGGCAGTGATATGTGATACATATATCTAAGTCTATTTACATAACATTTTACCATTAAACCATTGACAATTAAATAAGAAGACTAAAATATTTATGTGATTTAAACAAATATTGCATATATATGTAATGGAGAAAAAAACGGATAATGAAAAGGTGATTGTGGCCCCACAACCGAAAATGGCTACCTCAAGGGATGAATCTTCATCTATCGGTTCAAGGGCTCGGTTATTTAGTGTTGTTGGTAGCAGTTGTGAGGCGGATAATCTGGGAAAAGGCAAACAGCAGCCTATTGAATCTTTTGACTCGGATGTGAAACCATCCGCCCTTGCTAAAGCTTTATCGAACGCTAAATCGGTTAGAACGAAAAAAACGATTAAATATGGTGTGAATGAAAAAGATCAAAGCTCGAGCCAGTCTGAAGAGAAATCTTTTGTGAATATAGGGAAACACAAAGAGCCTGAAAAAAAGGCGGTCAAATGTGGAGAGGAAGAAATTGTTGACCATTTCTTTTCATTGCCGAAGCCAAAACCGAGTCTGCCTGAATTTTTCGGCAAAGAGAATGAAGACATTGACGAGAGTTGTGATGAAGATGATTGTAAAACGAATGCTGACTTTGACTTAGGGAGTGAAGTTGACAGAAAGGCTGGTGGGTTTAGACCAACTCCAATCCAACTCCAAACTCAAAGGCAAAAGAAAAATCTTGCTCCAACCGATACTCAAAACGGATACGCAAAATGCGTTTTGTCTACTTTTCTCTCTCCTATTGACGCAAATATGCGTTTGCATTTCAGGACATCGCATAATTTTTATGCAATTACAAATCACTCCTCAATTTATTTTCAGATGTCCAATTTGCTACCTATTAAATTTATATAATATATTTATTCACTTTATATTTATAAAGTACTATCAATAGTTATATAAACAATGGTAAAATATATTTATTTACTTTATATTTATAAATTACTATTTATTTGAAGTATTATAACATCATAGACTCAAATTAAAAAAAAAATAGAATATTGTATGGGGTTAATATTACTGATAGTTGATATGTTAATAATAATATTTTTATTCCTTATGTATTCACAATTAATTTTATTACATGTTTTCTCAATCAAATATGAAATAATAGTGAGGTGTAATTTTTAATATTATATTGTGTGTTGTAATTCTTAAATTTTAAATTTTTAATGACTATTTATTTTTTCGATTTTATTATTTATATGATTATCACTTTATAATTAGTTTATTACATGAAGTCCAAATTGAATTGAAAATAATAGTGTGGTTTAATTTGTAAAGTTGTAAAATATGTGAGTAATATTGAAAAATTGTAAAGGTTGATGTAAAAGAGAATATTCCAAGAATATTCTTTTGGGTTGGAGAATGGGTTTTTCGGTTGGAGATGAATTACTGTAAAATGGGATAAGTACTGCAAAATGGGTTTGAGTATGGGATATTCGGTTGGAGATGGCCTTATAGCTAAGTTCATAGAGCAAATTAGGCTACTGAAAGCTTCATCCGTAGATGGAAAGTTGACTTGATATTGGGTATTTATATTTCTTATTTATTGGTGAGGCTGTAAATTCACAAAGTCCCACTGAATTAGTTTTACAGTGGGACTAAAGTTGGAAGGAAAGGTGTCCGAGGTTTGTGCTTATCTGTGTTCTTGATTTAGCGTTAAACGACGTGTTTACGTGTTACCATATGGTATGTAGTTAAATGAGAATAACACTTTAGGTGCAAATTAATACGAATTTTACCCTTTTTAGTTTATGAACTTGTTTTTGTCCATAGCTCATTGCATCTGTTTTTCGCGTAGCTTTTATGTATGGTGTTTGCTTGATTGTTGGTGTGTGATGAAACCGCAGATGAACAACACATGCCATTAATAAAGGTAAAAATATAAGTATCCGAAGGTTGAATATGAAGAAAGTTTGATGAGGTTTTCTTAAGAAAAAATGACAAAAGTAAAGGTATTTTTCAAAACTTCAAGTGTTTCATGGGGCAAATTAGTGAAAGCTCATATAAGATCGGTTTGTTACAATAAGAAACCGAGTATGAAACATAATTTGTTTCATAAAATGTGAAGATCATTTGTGTTATTAGAATCAAGCTGTTGGCAAACATAGCACGGTTATTTCATAAAATGTGAAGGTCATTCGAGTACGGTTCATTTGTATACTTAAATGAGAATGAGGCGAACTGGAACAACAACTGAGTTCGTTTATTAAATGATCCGAGCTTGTACACGAATAACTCATTTAAGATTTTAGATTCGAATAACAAGTTGAAATACTAAAATGAACTCAAATTCTGACTTTGATTAAGCTTGTGCTAGATATAGGGAGGCTGATAGATATTATTGTGTTGGGTTTATTGTTTTATAATGCTTAAAGGTCAAAGTTTGGATCATAGATATTTGAAGTCTGAAACACTGAATTATTGTATCTGCGTAATATATAGAATATAATATTAAAATTTGGTCTGTATACATGTAATAGGATTCATGTAATTTGACATTTGATTGATAATCCCTACATTGCAAATTACATATAATCTATCTACTACTACCTCCTTTTTAAATTAGATGTCGTTTTGACTTTTTTGATTCATCCATATGTCTAGATACGTAGCAAAATGGATGAATCAAAAAAGTCAAAACGACATCTAATTTAAAAAGGAGGGAGTATATAATTAGGCAACTCACTTGCCATTTTTAGAAAGTTTTATGTGAGTCATACAACACTCTTACTATTTTTAGAAAGTTCTCACATTGTTTGACAAGTGTTCATATTTATATTAATATTAACTGCCTCAACGAATATTTATATAGTTTACCGATAACTAATAAAGATCCATTACTTAATGATTTACCCGAGTTAATCAATTGTGACTCATTTTTTTAATACAAACAATTAAAAGTACGGGATGTTTGTACTTCACATATATTTTTATAAAATTTTATTTTATTTTTTATTAAAGATTTTAGTTTAAATTATTTATCTAATTTTCATAATTTATACTTTACAAATTAACATAATTATAAGTGTTCGTATGCTTCTTGCCTGAATTTTATAAATTTTTTTATCTTAAAGTTTGTATATAAAAATAAAATCTAATAGTAGTTAAATTAGATATAAATATATTAAAAACATACGCACTCAAACATTCTTCATAATAAATAAATAATAAATAACATCATGTTTGTAGAATATTTTTTGATTCATTTTCCACAACGAGTTGAAAAATCCAAAACATATGATCATGATTAAATTAATCTACTAAACAAATAGTATTACATATATATGCAATATATGTAATAAATATTAGATTACGTAATATAAAAAGTATTTCGTAAATACCTTTTGTATTTATAGTAATATCGCGATAACATAAAATTAGGATTTAAGTGTTAAAGGGTAACTATTTAATTATTTTAGACTTATAACTTTATGTATGTTCATAAAATATTTTGTTTTTTAATACGTAAATAAGTCAAACATACTTAACAACGCTAAACAAAGTCCAAAACGATTATAAGATTTTTATTTAAAAAAAAACAAATATTAACGCAGTAACACGTCTAATATATGAAAGTTAAAAATACACACGTAAAACCATGAAAGTCAGTTTGGAAGTTAAAACCATATTGAAGTTAAAATACATACGTTTGGAAGTTACATTGTTAATGGTTGAATAGTTACCTTGCACGTCAGTATTTTTATGTACTATCACATTCACATTATTCATTTATGTACTATCACATTCACATTATTCCACATCTTATTCAAACAATTGCTTACACACCGAGGTATAAAAAACAGAATACATAATATAAAGATTATTTTGTAAATACCTTTTGTATTTATTAATTATATCGCGATAATATAAAATTATGATTTAAGTGTTAAATGGTAGGTATTTAATTATTTTAGACTTATAAATTTATGTATATTCATAAAATATTTTATTTTTTAATACATAAATCAGTCAAACATACTTAACGACACTAAACAAAGTCCAAATAAAATACGATAATTAGATTTTTATTTTTTTATAAAAAAAAATATCAACCCAACGCACGTCTGGAAGTTAAAAATACACACATTAAACCATGAAGGTCAGTTTTGAACTTAAAGTAGTTAAAAATACACACGTTTGGAAGTTACATTAAAATACACACCTTTGGAAGTTACATTGTTAGTGGCTTGAATAGTTACCTTGCATTTTATTTAGTAAATATACATTGTAGTTTATAAATACGCAATTGATTGATTATTCATCTATGTACTATCATTTTTCTACATCTCTTTCACATTTTATTCAAACAATTGCATATACACAGAGGTATAAAAAGCAGAATGGAGTATCAAAGTCCGTGTGATGTGATGTTACGAAAGGATTGCTCTGGGAATTGATATTCCACGACTCCGAGGTGATTCTTTTAAGACATTTTTGTTTATAAATTTAGTTATTATACATATGCTATTTAATTTTGTTTCCTAATATCTGCATTTTTAACGTTTTATTGGAATATATAATTCATGCCTCAATAAAAAAAATTCACGTAAATTTGTTCAAACGTTTCATCACATACGGTGGAGTCATTGGTATCAACATTTTATTATAGCACCAAATGGCGGTAGATATAAAACTGCTATGGCAAGATTCAAAATAAATTTTATGGTGAAACTACTATGATAATTATATATTATGCATATCAAAAATAAAATATATATTTTAGTTATTGAAAATTAATTTTGATGAATGTTATACCTAAAGAACTTTGTATTTACAACTCTGTATTAATGCACGACCAATTTTATGTCGTTGTTTCATGAGTTACAAATGAGAAAGGATTGAAAATATTAATTTGTGATGATAAAAACGGCTAAAAGACGAAGTACGATGTATATGAAAAAGTGTCCAATAATATTCGCTATGCATCTATATGAATTGCAAATGATCTTTTAATGATTTTTTTCGTAGTTCCCGTGCACATGCACGGGCAACTGTACTAATGTTACTATATTACGAAAACAAGGTCAACTGTTTTTGGTATAGAATAACATTTTGACTAAATGCCCGTATATTTTAGCAGAGTACCAAACTAATGCATAACACATAAAGAATCATTTAACTCTACACTTTAAATTACTATATTTAAGGAAAAATCTCATTAATGTTTCATTCTTTTTTGCACGCTAATAGAAAGCAGACCAAATAGTTAGATAGTAAATCTTTTCAAACTAAAATGTTGTAATCTAAAATATAACATAACCAAAATTATGACATATGAAAATTTCATAGCATAAATGCACACTTTTAATATAAAAATGTGACGGACATTTCATCTATTTGTTAGACCATTTCACACAATACTTTTTTCTTTCTTATTTTTGTCCAACAGAAAGATGATGCGGCTAAGGAGAAAACGGCCAGTCAGATAAAAAACAAAACGGCCCCCACCTTTATATTTGTCTGTGTGAAAGAAAGAGTAACGGTCAAAATAAAGGTACAAGGCATGGGCCAATCAAAAGTTTATAGAAAATTACTAATTTGAAAGTTACCGGGAAACGTAACGGCCCGAATATGCAGATAATAAACCGGTGTATAAACTATAAAGCAAACAGAATAAGAAAAAGTATGATGAAAAAAATACAGAAAACCAAAGAAGGTACTTTAAATTATTGTAGTTGGAAACTATTAAAAGAAAGCATTTGTTCCTCTAATTATTCACCTAGGGAACCACCTTCAATAAGGATTATCAATCAATATATATAAAAACTAAGGCAATAAACCAAAGTTTGGTACTTTAATTTTATTTAAAAAAACAAATATTTATGGTTGATTAATTTGTTTTCACAAAATTCTCATATGTAGTGCCATAACAACGAGTCAATTATATCATATTTTTTTTTAAATAAAATAAATATTTGTGTTATGAAATGCCTTTCTTATATTTATGTTTTTTTAGTATATTTCAGTTTAAAAGTATTCATGTATGTTGATCAAACGTGACTTTATAGTACTGTTCTATTTGGTGTTTTTCTAGCTATAATGTATGGTTATGCTAATTGCAATAAATTAATGAAATAAATATTTTCAAAATGGCAAATGAAAATAAAGAAAGTAAATGTGCTATTAAACCATGTTTTGCTAGTTCAACTTTTTTGAGGGTGTGTTTTTTATGTATTAGCTTATATATATTATTTTAAATTATGCAACACCAATATATTGATTTTGTTCAATTTATCGTGAATTAATATTTTTTTTATTTTCTAATTTATTCATCTCAAAATTAAGATAGTTAAACTCTAAAGTCCAAACCATTCCAAGGGGCCTAACTATAAGCTGAATTGTGTAATGATTTACCTAATTTAACTAATCTACTACTCCCTCTGTTTCGTTTTAAATGTCGTTGTAGGGTGTCAACTTTTTTGCAAATTAATTGTCGATGGAAATATTATATTCATTCTTACATCTTTATTCTATTTAACAAACATTATCTTTTATCATTATCTTTAAAAACCACCCATTAATAATTCAAAAACTAAATTTAATAAGATTAAAAAATAAGATTATTACACAACCCATTAAAATCGTAATTTAGAAGTTTTAAATTAAAACGACATTTAATAAGAAACGGAGGGAGTATTAAATTTTGGATAAGATCAAAAAAAAAAAGAAGGATTGAGTCACTCTTACATAAATATTACTGTAATTTTCTCAATCTCTATTCCAACTTCAAAAAGGCATAAAAATTAAAAAAAGTAAAATAGTTTTTATACAATGTTGTTTTTATGGCAAATCCTATTTCAGTTTTATTTTAGACCAAGTCAATATATTATATTATTTCTATAAATGTACATATTTTATTAGAAAATGTTCATAATAAGTATAAATATAAATTTTTAATTTTTTATTATTACCATAAAGGGTCTAACGGTTAGGCTAACCTCGACAAGAATTTGTGATCCTGTTTACTGTTTAGTGTTTATATGGACATTGGCAATTAAAGATAACGCTCCTCGTGAGAAAATTGGGCGCACTGTAATAATATTAAAGAGAGGAAAGCTAGAGAGAGAATCATTCAAAGGCAAACGAACACCTTACACCCTCGAGTGGCTTCTTTCTCCATCTCCACTTTTATTTTCTTTTTTTTTTTTTGTTGGCGCACGCACTTTGCAAGAAAACTACGCCCAACAACTCATTGAAAAGCCCTCTTGGGCATATTGCCGAATTTCACTCTTTCTTGATCTCTGAGCATATAATATGTTTGTTTGTTTATTGTTTTCATTGCGATTCCTTTTTGTAGTTGTTGTTGGGGGGGTATTTTCTGTTTGAGGTGTAAGATCGTGATCGAGAAATGCCCATTCTTGATTTGGATTTGTATTTCATTTATCGGGATTATCGAAGTTGGTGTAATATTGTTGAAATTAGGAGAATTTGCTGTTGTTGTTGTAATCTGTTGTGAGATTTTGTTAATAGGGTTTGTGGGTTTGTTGTTGTTTGTTGAAATAGATTCTGATTTAGGGTTTTCTTAGAAAAGGTTCGGGCTTTTGGTAAAATATCCGATCTTTATGTGAATTATTATTATAAGGGTTTCATTGTCGTGAGCCTGTGATTAACTGGCCTGTACTGAAGCTTTATTTACCATTTTAGTTTGTTTTGGGTTTCGATTTTGTGCTTTTTTTAGTTGGTTAATTTAACTTGAGTCTGTAGAGATGTATATCGAGGAACTGAAAGAGGGAGATTCTGAGAGTGGTGACCACCAAATCTGTGGAGATCTTTATGATAGCGGTGCTCTCGTTGTTTGGGACCCAAAAAGGGTTTTAGTTGGAGCCGGAGCTCGTGCCCTTTTCTACCCGACATTGTTGTATAATGTCGTCAGGAATAAAATCCAGTCCGAGTTCCGATGGTGGGATAGGGTTGATGAGGTATATCTAATATCTCACTTCCAATGCTTTGAAATTTCTCTTTTATGTTTTATGTGAATGTGGGATATATATTCTATGTGTGGTGTGTCTTTTGTTGTGATGACTATACTTGTGGTGTTTCCATTTATTGTTATCTGAAGATTTATAGAATTTTTGACTGATGAAACTCTTTTCTCGTGTATCTTCATGTAAATTTTTTGGTCCGGTCTGCATTTGACCGATGAAACTCTTTTCTTGTAAAAGCACGGTGGGTTATCTTTATTTCTCGTAAAAACACGATAGCCTGAAAATTGTCTATATAAGGGATGGTTGCTATGTGAAAATGGCAAGAAAATGGAATCATGAACATATTCTTAGATCATGCTTGCAATGAGCACAAGTGAGCAGAGATGACTTAACACCATTATCGATGATTGTTCTGTGTTACTATAATTGTTATTATGTTTTATAGTTTTTTTTTTGGCGGTGGAATCACACCTTGGTGGTGATGTCATCAAAGCTGTAAAGCTATTAGCGTGGACAATGTTACGAGTATTTTTGGGTTGTTTTCAATATGTTTCTTTTAATGCTGTGACCTCAGGGAAAGTTCCTAGAAGCCTCCTATTATAAGTATCTTATTAAAGAAATTGGAAAAGTGTTCTTTTTTTCGATACTATCAAAGATTTAGGTTTTTTCCTAATATTTTTAATATTCGACGATCTTTACATTAAATGATGCTTGCAATCGTGTGCTAGGAAATTAACTGAATCGGACTTCTGTACGTATATAAGAACAATAATTTGTCAGTCTTTTCTATTGACTTTGCAACCTATATTGACATTTTCTGCTTTGTCAGTATGTTTTGCTAGGAGCCGTTCCATTTCCTACTGACGTGCCTCGCTTGAAGGTTCTTGGTGTTGGTGGGGTTGTTACCTTGAATGAACCGTACGAGACTTTAGTTCCAACGTCATTGTATCAAGTAATGTTAATTTTACTCAATTCTATTTGATGTTTCCTTTTTAAGAATCTTTTCATGAACTTTAAGTTTCCTTTTGTCACACATCGTATTTATGTAGTCTTGAAAATTTCCCTAGTAGAGTTTTATCATTTGCCGATCATTTTTTCTTTTTGCCTTTCCATTCTGACTAGTCTTACTGCCTCAACGAGGTGACATTTGTTTTCATGTCGGCTAAAGTCTTGACGTAATTCGGGTATTCTTGCCTAGCTGGCCGTGTTGATGAAGCTTACCCTGAATGAATGCAATAATAATGTTCATCACTTGCATTTCATTAAGTACATATATATATATATATATATATATATATATATATATTACCCTTTGTCTGTCAAATAATTTGCGTTTGGTGATATATTCTTTTGCTTTCTGTTTGTAGGACCATGGCATTGAGCACTTGGTGATTCCAACTCGTGACTATCTTTTTGCTCCATCACATGAGGATATATCCGAAGCTGTAAAGTTTATCCATGGTAAGATGAGTTTGTTTTAGGTCTTTTGAACATTGGATTGAAGATTTTGGATGTGTAGCGAAGGATTCAATTTACAAATAGCTCCATTTAAGAGAGAGAAGATAGTAAACTCATCGAATTGTAAACTTACTAAAAAAGCTTGATGGCAAATGTCATGGTATTGCTTTGCCATTCTCTGATTAAAATTTAATCTCTAATTAGTAAATTCTTTTTTTTTTCTCCTTTTTTTTTTGTCTGTGATTATACTGGATATGTTGTTGTTGTTGTTGTTGTTGTTGTTGTTGTTGTTGATTATACTTCCTGCAGACAATGCACTCTGTGGCAAAACTACATACGTTCACTGTAAGGCTGGTCGAGGACGTAGCACTACAATTGTTCTGTGTTACCTGGTATGTGTAACAGAAAAGGAAAATAAATGATGAAAAAAACCTTGTTTTAGCCTTTAATAACTCTTATTGTATAATATATAAACCTTTTATTTTCTTTTCTTTTTTAACCAGGTTACACACAAGCAAATGACTCCTGAAGCTGCATACGAGCATGTGAGGTCCATTAGGCCGAGGGTTTTATTGGCCTCTTCCCAGTGGCAGGTAAGCTTTGCATTTACATGTCTTGGTAAAAAGACATTTTTGGTCCTCAACCAATACGAGTGTCAGAAAATATAGCTCTTTGGTAGTTCAATCTGATNCTTATAATGGAAACTGATTAAATTATTTAATCTTACCTTGACATAAAATGCAGGCTGTTCAAGATTATTACCATGGACTCAACAAACCCGATAATGCAGACAATTCGCTCATAAAAACTCTCGATTTCCCCAATGAAGTAGTTGAACAAGATGATTTTGATGATAATTCATTGGTGGTAATTACCGAATCAGACTTAGATGGGTATGAGGAAAATAGCCATGGCTCTAACATATCTAGTAAAAACATGCTGCCTGAAGGTAACCTTGCTTGCAAAGTTCACTTTGCTAGTCAAGCCGCTATTTCAAGGCTCTCGTGCCTGTGGTTAAAGAAGCTCTCAGGCTCTGTTGGAAATAGTCGGATTGGGACAATGGGAGTTGACATTCATGTTTATTGACTCCATCATTTTAGGTTTGTCAGAATAAAGGAATAAAGATGAGTT